ATCATGATGATTTTTTACTGAAATTCAGTTGCTCACAAACATTTTCCCTTAATCTGACATTTAAATAGTGAAATAAAACAAGTCTTCGCCTCAATCGTTTTGTACATGTTCACTATCAAGGGTCATCCAGGAGTTTTTTTAACGGGGTAATGCAGTGAAAAAAAGCGATGTGAATGGCCCACAGGACATTAGAATATTAATAATATTTATATGTAGATATGTATAATAATATAAATGGTTTGTTTTTCTGTTTTATTTGCAGCTGTGTGCCCTCATGCATGTGTATTACAGGAAAAGTGACTGCACAAGAGTTTAAACATTATGTTTAGACTCTTAAGTAAAATTTATACTCCAACTTTAGCAGTTCAAAGGTTTTAGCGTCAGTATATCAACAAGTTAAAATACTTGTGTTCACCATTTTATTGTTGCAGATATTTATGATGCCCACAGTACAGAAACGCCAAAACGTTACACACAAAGTGGCAAACTGACAGGCACCATCTGTTTTTACCAGACTGAAGTAAGAACACACATTATCAGCAAAATACCAACAGTACCGTGCAAAGGTCTTGACTCACCCCACATTTGTTCTACGTTGCTTGAAACAGTGGAAATAGGTGCAGTGATATACTGAAACATATACTGTTTATGCATTTATATTTACAGGAATAGTTCTTCAGGCTTCTTGAACGACTTTCAAAGCTCTTCTTTGGGTGTTGGCTACATTTTTCTTCCCCTTTTCCAGTTATTCTTGTCACGGTTGAGGGTAATTTTGACCCAGCATTTTAAGTCTCTTGTGTTTTGGTTTATTTTTTGAATGATGGACTGTTTTCTGTTTCTCCGGTGTTTGTTTGAATTTTATGATTTAATATATGTTTCAGTTATTCTGGTATTTTTCTGTATTATGACTAATGTTCTGGTTGTATTTTGTTATTATTGCAGGTTTAGTTCAGTTTCTAGTCTGTCTTACCCTGTCGAGTCCATGTCTTAGTAAAGTGTGTCTTGTTTCCTGTTTTACTTTGAAGGTTCATCTTCATGTCTGGGGTCCGTTCTTCGTACCTCGCTAAGTAAGTTAGCTGGATTTGATTGTTGACGATTTCGCGTGATCTTGGATCGTTCGGTTCTCCGAAGCTCATCCGGGACTTGCTGTCATAGCAACAGAGCCGTAAGCGTAAACCTGCTCGGGAGCAGGCTTACTTTATGTAAACAGGATTAGATCGCGGCCACTCAGGTATGTCCGCTTCATGTATACGAAAGCAACAGAGATATTTGACCACTGTTTCACCATAAATAAATATTATCAATGTAACTAAAGATAATGCAGCACTTGATCCTTTTATTGATTTCACACAGATACATACAGGTCATTTCCTAAAAAAAGGGAAATGTACTATTAACATTCTATTACATGTATGTGATTATTACAGATGTAATGTACTTCGTG